CCTTCATATAGAACCAAATTCTTATACCATTCAAAATATGTAAATTCTGTACAAATATTCTCTCAATTCAGTCCTTTAACAAACTTTTATAACTTAAAACTTTTCAAAATCTACAACCTTTCAATATTCTTTAACTCACTAACATAATAAATCCACAAAATAATAATCTAAAACTATACTCTTTTAGAAACAAAATTATTCTAAATAACTTACCAACAATTGCAAATTTAAATACCTGCTATCCAAACCTATATCTTATACCAAACTGTACTTTTTGTAACCAATATGAAAATACTAAACATATACTCTCCTGCACACTATACTCTATTAATTTATATGAAATATTACTTAACCAAATAACAACTACTCTAAATATATTTAATTTAAATAACATTTCTTTTTTATTTATTTTTTGTCTAATTACTCATCACAATAATCCTCCTAGCTTAACAAATACTATTCTACTTCTTTTACAAGGCATAATTCTAACAATTTGCTACAATCAAACTAACTTACTTCTCAAAAAATCAACTAATAACTTCTTCATCCAACTCTCTAACTCTTTACTTCTTTGGTTCAATAACAAAATTTGAAACAACAGAAATCAAATTCACTATGAATAGGGAACTACTCATGGTATCTCTCAAAAAACTAAAAAAATAATAACACAAATCAAATATATCCTTCTCAATTAACATCTACTAAAACTACTACTAAAATCTACAACTCTAACATAGATATCTATATACAAAAATGTTTATTTCAAAACTTCTCTATATTTAATTATTTCTTCTAATTATCTTTCTTAAATTACTTAAAAGTCTCCTTCAATCTTCTTTATAGTTAATAGTAACTATTATTTAAATTAACTAGCAAATAAAAAATGAGAGTGTAATATCATATTAGATATCTAACTAATGTAAATAGTCTTAGCAACAACAATGAAATTTAGGAACATATATTAGCTTCACATATATATTATCCTGATATATAAATGTACTAATCTCCTTTCTAATTGATATTATCAATAAATAAATAAATAAATAAATAAATAAATAAATAAAAAAAAAAAAAAAAAAAAAAAAAAAAAAAAAAAAAAAAAAAAAAAAAAAAAAAAAAAAAAAAAAAAAAAAAAAAATAGTAGTTTATTAATAACATTTTTTTATAGAATAAAAAAAATTAGAATGTCTAATAAATTTATATATCTAATTAAGTTATATAAACAAATTGGATATTGTCCAAATATCCAAATATCCAAATTGTTCAAATATCTAATATTATAATATATCATCTTTATTAATTAGTACTCTGTATATGTAACAAATACAAATTAAACAATATACTATATAAAAAACTAAATCAATAAACAAAACTAAAAATAAAATAACAAAAAATTATAAGTATAACAATAATATATAAATTGTATTATTAATATCTAAATAATCTACTAACCTAGCTATATCAAAAAGGTAACTCTAAAAGCATCAAAAACGCAACTTTTTTAACCTAGTTTTAAGAACTCCCAAAAAAGAAAATTTTCATATATAGATTATTAATCAGATATAATGTTTAATATGAAATCGAAGATATTTTCAAAAATCGCTCATAACTTTAAATTTTTATTAAGAAACTACCTTTTGCGTTCTAATTAAAAAATTCCTTGCTAAATTTTGCATAACATCTTGTTAAAATCCCAGGTCTCGTCCTAACTTAAAGTCGTAAATTCGACGTTTTATTAGTAAAAACTAATAAAAATATATTTTTTTTAACTTTGTATCACTTGCAGAAATAACCAAATCAGGACCTGGGATCATATTTGAAAAATAGCTAACAGAAGTCAAAATTTTGCAAAATTAAGCAATTTGATTGGCTCAAAATTTTTTTATCCAATCAAATTACAGAAAAACCACTAATAGCTCAAATATAATCTCTGTTATACGACAGTGTGAAACCCGCGCAAAAATAGTTACGTTATTTGACGCAAACCCTACCTAAAATAGTAACTAACCCTAATTAAGTATAGATCTGCATCAAGAAAGATCTCAAATACAGTAATTTGATTATCGTTATCTCGAACTTTTTATAACTGTCTGACTTTACTTTGTATCCAATCGTTTTACACTTGGAAATGCTGTGTCTTTATATATGGGGTTCACATTGGGGGCTTCCATCTATTGATCCTGCATGTTTGTCTGTTATTTCATACTTACAGCTTGTTTCCGAAGATTGGAATGTTATTGAATGCTGTAATCCAAATGTCTCACCAACAGGTGTGCAATGCATACGTTTCTTATAAAAGTTTATATTATTAACCTTAAAACACTGTAGGAGAGCTTCCAGTATTAAGAGATGGACTGAATTGGATCGCAGGTGTTCATAATATAATAAATCATCTTAAGAAAAATGTGTGTATACGTTTATCTAACAATATATCCCGATTTTTAAATTCTAAAACTCAATTTTCATTTTATTCTAAGGGTTTAAACGTGGATGAGAATTTAACGAACAAACAAAAAGCTGATAGTTTGGCGTATAAAATTATTCATTTATTTTCTTTATTAAAGTTTAACTATTCCAAATTAATAGACTTTTATATTCTAATAATAGATTCACTTCTTATATTGAGGAGTGCGCCTACGATGTACTCGTAAGTTTATTAGGCCATACAAAATAATTTTTTGGTTTTCATAACATAAATTTTAAAACAGACCCGGCAACCCGGCTTTTTATTCAACTTTTATATATAAAAATTGTATAAAAAACCCCACCCGGTTATCATAACATAAAAAAAAAGTTTTAAAATTTTGACCCGGCCGGGTTATGTAAACCAAGAAAGTTTTTTTGTATGGCCTTATCGATATTTTTCAATTTACAAAATTTCAATATTCATTATATTTACTTAAATATTTCATTAGCTATTTACATGGTATGTTGATTCCAAAAATTTCGTAGAAGTCATCCGCCCGCTTTACGCTGGATTACTTTCATTCCCAATGCAATATTTTATACCAACGCAACTACGTGACTTCGCCAAAGAAAGGCTGACAAGGCATGGTATTGAAAGTGTTGGTGATACAGGGTTTCTCATGGATAAGAGTACAAAGGTGTTATGATCCAGCAATAACATATATATAGACATTTGATATTTGAGGTTGATAATATTTGCAATTTAATTAGAAAATTAATATTTCTCGTACATTTATTCCAGTTGAATAAAATTGTTCATGAATCGTATGATGTGTTACAGAAAAAACTAGGAGACAATGAATTTTTTTTTAGAGATCAGTGAGTAATGGGAAATCAGATATTTTAATGTCATATAATTGAAATAAGGCTAATCTTGAAATTTCTTACAATCAGGCCATCTTCTTTAGACGTTATGGCATATGGTTATTTAGCTCTTCATAAGTATTCGGAACTTTCCAATCCGGATTTGGCCACTATATTCAATACTGAATATCCACGACTTGCCCGATTCTGTGAACGAATGAAAAATTATCTTTCTTCTCGGCCAATCAGTAAATTGCCTGCTACCGATCTCCCATCTTTCTTTTCTGGTTTGTTTAGTTCTCCTCATACATGGTTTAATAGAAATGTTTGGAAAACTTATAACGTTGAGGGAATAAAGAAAGAAAAGTCCGAAGCTCAAATCAAATTTGAGAGAAAGAGAAATTTATCAATATTTGGAGCAATTGGTTTCGTGGTTGCTTATGTAGTTTGGAATGGAATTATCAGTATAGAATTTGGTGATAATGATGATGATGATGATGATGACGAGGAATATATTGATTCAGAGGAAAAGGAAATCGTTGATGAAGTGGACTACGAGGAGGATAGCGAAAACTAGTTTTGTAATTTAACTACGCATGTCTCTTATTTTTTGTTTCAATTTCACAGATTTATCATGATTTTCTTGCGAGTAACATATTTAGGTCATTTGTTCACAAAATTTAACTAGTAAAGATGATTCTAACATGTTTAATTTACGCTTTGTTGAAGAACAATGTTTGTCCTAGCAAAATCAAGGCGTTTCTGGCAAAAGCACTGTCGACCAATTTTTAAGGCAATTATTGATGTCATTTTGTAAAAGCACTGTCGACCAATTTTAAGGCAATTATTGATAATGTCATTGTAAAAGGGATTGATCGCAATCTGTATAATAAGTTCTGAGATGTGGTCCAGAATTACAGTAGTAATATAACTGTTATTTTAATTTTTAATTTTCGAAAAAGTGTTTAGATCAACTTCTTCAATAACGATATAGTTATTTAATGTCGCGGATTATGGACCTATTTTAATATGAAAATTTAAAATTTTTGGGGTGTATTTTCTTAGTTTTGTTTTTAGGGTTAGGTTAGGGTTTAGGGTTAGAGTTATTTAGAAAAGAGTACAAGTAGATTTTAGTAAGGTTTATATTTTCAAAAGGAGACCCCAAATTCACCATAATCCTTGACAATAAATTCAAATTTATTTTTATTTCTTTTTAAAACATATTAGTAAAAAAAAATAGTAATGAAATACAGTTTAATACGTAGTAATGAAATAAAGTTTAATACGTAGTAATGAAATAAAGTTTAATAGTAATGAAATGCAGTTTAAATAAATTTATTTTTTTTGCTGCTAAACATAAATTATTTTTAATGTAGCCGAAACTCGAAACATTTTGGCACCCATCTCTGAGTTAAACGTGTAGTGATTATATATATATAAAGGGTTTAAATAGTTTACAAGTAAAATACAAATATGACAACTGGTATAGAATTTTTAAGTAAACGATTTAATTAGACAATAATATGTGAAATCGGATGATGTTAAAATTTAGAGTCCACTCATTTGTTAACAACTTCATCCCTAAACCAACCCTAAACTTAAAAAAAAAAAAAAAAAAAAAAAAAAATACAAAAAAGACCCTAAAAATTATAAAAATTTCAGTATCATCCAGTTTATAAATTTTTATTAAGATATTATCGTTATTGCTGTATTTTTAAAAAAATTTTTTTAGCTAAATTTCTATTAACTCAACTCCATATAGAGGCTAAATGTACCTCTAATTGTTTCTCTATAAAACATCTTAGATTTGGCTCAAAACATAGTACGGACAATTTTTTTTTATAAACGCACATCTCTAAATACACATTTTTAAAAAATTTCATTATGGGTTCAGAGAAGTGCACTTAAGAAAAATCCTATATATTACAAAAGGACTGAATTGAGAGAATATTTGTACAGAATTTACATATTTTGAATGGTATAAGAATTTGGTTCTATATGAAGG